TCCCCGAAGCTTGAAGTTTTTGTACGGTGAGCACTTTAAGAGAGCTCTCCTCTTGAGTGGGTGGCGAGGCAGCTCAAAGATGAACCAATGAGACGCCGTCTCGACGAGACACCATGCGCAATCAATACTTCCGGTGTGCGCCACCACACTAACTGAACAGTGGTAGAGAAAGAAGGGGATAGTGGGATAGGCTACACGCAGGGCGTATTAATTAAGTGATGTGAACTGTAAACCGATTCATTGCCAGTATCAAAGAGTCGTTGATAGTTTACTTTCTCTTCTCCTTCTCCTCCTTCATTTCCTTCATTGATGTGTGTGTGTGTGTGTGTGTGTGTGTGTGTGTGTGTGTGTGTGTGTGTGTGTGTGTGTGTGTGTGTGTGTGTGTGTGTGAGAGGGAGCGTGTGTGCGTACATGCGTACACACATGTATTATGTAGCATGTCCATCCTTATCATAAGGTCACGGCCTCGCTTTCCTTACCACAATGTATTAATAACAGGCCTGTTATAAACATGCAGTTATCTGTCCCCGTCGTTTTACGCAAGAAAAATTCTGAAATAATGCAAACTGAGTCCAGAAATGTGAAATTATGCGATATATACGTCATGTAGATTAGTTACGTCAAGTAGATTAGTTATCACGGTTATGATTATGATGCAGTTATTACGGTGATGACGTGCTACCGCTTTCCTCAACACAGACTATATACAGCCTTAACTGACAGTGAAGATTCTACATATTTATTAATGATGTCACATACCATACTGTGAGCAGGGGAGAAAGGGTATGTGAAAGTTGGATCCACTTTTGTGTCAATCCAGAATGTTCTGATTAGTGAACCGGGTGTTTTTGAACAGCGACTTCTGACGTCATTGATACTAGGGGACAGCAACCCAGGAACAGCAACTAATATTTTATTTTATATTGTATTGTGCCGTATTTGTTTGTAACAGTTTGTCTTTGTGGAATAGGCCTACAGCTAGACCTGATATGTGCCGGTGACGCGGAGATCAGATGGGTGGTCACTCGTGTGTGTCTGGGG